ATATATATGTATATATATATGTATATATATGTATATATATGTATATATATATGTATATGTATGTATGTAATTGGGTGAGCGTTACACCCTCTTGAGCACCCCAATTTTTTCGTTATAATATACTGTTTGTATAGTATTTGTCCTGCCACTTTTTCAAGTTGTTCTCGGGATGGAAGACTTTTTGGCTAGATCTGGAGCTCTGGCTGACACAGCAGAAACGCTGAGTATCACAGATGAACAAGCTACAGCCGTATTATGGCCTCGTACTTCCAAGGATCTTACACATACCAATACCGTTAAGGAGTTATACAATGATTTGCTTAAATTAAAACGACGGGAGATTGATTTAGATCTCCATGGAGTCTTCATTTCAGACTATTATAGAGCTAAACGAATACCAAGAGGTTTCAGAGTTTGCAATGCTCCCACTATAGGCAGACAAAACCCGGATTTCTGCAGACACTGGATGCAAATAGCTAACAAATGTTCTCTAGATTGGATGGTCATAGTTGTAGAGGAGGTGGGGAAAGAGTTAATTCAAGTTAAAAAAAGTATTCAAGAATTTGAAGTCAGTAATACCACTATTTTGCAAGCACCTTCTACGCATGAAACTATGATTAAACTCCAAGATGAGATTCAAAAATATCAAAACGACTTAATAAGATTTAAGAAACAAAAATTGAACAAAGTAAATCACGATTACACACATCACCAAGTGTATAGATGGCTAAGCGGCAGCGATACTAACAGCAGGAATCCTCCATCAAGATATAAGCAGCGGATCATGAAACCATGGTTTCAAACTATTGATCTTAGCTCAGGTGAGTCCGCTTCTGATGCTGAGACATTTGAAGGAATATCCAAAGTTCAAACTACTCCTTTTTTAGAGAGAGATATTATATCCAAAGATCCTCCGGATACATCCAAGGAAAGGAGAGACACAAGAAAAAAAGACCCCTCAGGCGAGGAAAGAAGAGTAACTCGGTACACCAATACCTCAGGAAGACCTCCGATTTAGAGAACACGTCCGTAGTGTTTAATCTATCTGACAAAAAGCTTACAGATGACCATTTTCTTGTTCTAAATAAAGGACTTACATTCATTCCAAGTAGAAAACCGGATGCCTTTACCATGGAAATTGAACTGTACAAATTAAATCGTATTTTGAATTGTAACGAACTTAGAAAAATTGACATCAACCGATGCCCTAAGCCTTTCTCTTCTAGAGAGAAGAAGGATATTAAAACTAATAACATTGCCATCAAGTCTTATATACAAACAATACAGAAAGATGTACAAAGGATCATTAAAGTGCCCCCTCGTTCCAGACACAATTTAACCATCAAAGAAAAAGAAGCTCTTAAAGATCTTCAACAAGATTCTACAATAGTTATCCGCCCCGCGGACAAAGGGGGCGCAATAGTCATTCAATCCTATCAGCAATACAGAAAAGAAATTATGAGGCAATTGCAGGATGAAAAAACTTATAAAAAACTTACATTTGATCCAGTTAAGAAGTTTCAACAAAGGATTGCTGGCCTTATTGAAATAGGTCTTCAAGCAAACTATATCGACTCAAATATGGCTAAATTTCTCAGAGTTGAGTTTCCAATTCATCCAGTATTATATACTATACCAAAAATTCATAAATCCTTGCAAGAGCCTCCGGGAAGACCAATAGTGTCGGCTAGAGGTGGACTTCTTGAGCCTATAGCTAAATTTGTGGATTTCCACATACAAGGTTGTGTTAAAGAAATACCATCATGTCTTAGAGATACTCAAGATCTACTAGATCAAATAAAAGAGTTAAGCATTGCAAAGGATGTAGAATTTATTTTTGCCACACTTGATGTGCAAAATCTATATACGGTCATACCAATAACAGAAGGCATTAATGCAGTACGGGAAACCCTTCTTAAAACAAAAACGTACCAAGGACCACCGATTGAATATCTTCTAGAATGATTAACAGTTGCACTTACTTGCAATTACTTTAAATTCGAAACTTTGTTTTATGTACAAACCTTTGGAACAGCGATGGGGGCGGCCATGGCACCTTCATATGCCAATATATTTATGGCCTGGTTTGAACAACAACATATTTTTTCTATGTTTCATACCAAAATACTGATTTTAGATTTGTAGACGATATTTTGTTACTCTGGAAAGGAACCAAAGAAGAACTTATTGAAATGGTTACTACTATTAATAATTTACACACTCCGATTAAACTCACTTCCGTATTACTATTTAAAACTAATAATGGCATTGGCTACACTCTTTTCCGAAAAGAAACAGATCGTAACACACTGCTTTTAGCTACCAGTTTTCATCCGAAACATCTCATTTATTCGTTGCCTATTTCCCAGTTTATACGTGTACTGCGTTACAACAGTGACCCCGTTCAAATGAACCTACAGTTACAACAAATGCGACAGAGATTCGTAGCTAGGGGTTATTCGTCTCAAACATTAACCATAGCGGAGACTAAAGCAAAAGAAAAAATTCAGAAAACCTCTGATAACATTAGTGATCAATCAACAGAACGCATATTTCTTCCACTTACTTTTCATACTAATACTGTACAAATCAAGAACACTGTATACAAACACTGGGATATACTAAAGGCAGACAAGTATTTATCACCAATTTTCCAAAATCCACCAGTTATTAGTTATCGACGGAATAAGAGTTTGAGGGATATGCTGGTTCGTAATGATCCAGTACACTGTTATCCACAAGCTAAAGTAACTAAGAAAAAAGGTTGCTACAGATGCACAGGATGTGTAACATGTAGCCATATGGTATCTGGCACATCCTTTGCCCATCCACAAACTGGTCAACGAATTCCTATTCAGCATCATATCACTTGTACGACGGATCATGTCATTTACATGATCACATGCCCTTGTGGGCTATCCTATGTAGGCAAGACAGATTTAACACTCCGCGACAGAATAAGAGGACATCGTTCGGGTATAACTACAGCTTTCCGGGATCAACATTCAGAAAAACCAGTTGCCAAACATTATTTGGCCCTACAACACCGATTGCCCACACTGAGATATATCGCGATTGACCATGTCCCACCTCCGTACCGAGGTGGTAACAGATCTAAAATATTGCTACAGAGGGAGGCATATTGGATCCATTATTTGGACACAGCTTCCCGTAAGGGACTTAATGAACATGTTACGTACTCCATGTTTCTTTAAATCGTGGTAGTTCGAATTTTTGCTGTGATGAAATATAATAGCAGTATACTTTGATATGTATATAGTATCCAGAATTAGTATCTGAATTTGTAGTTGCTTTAGTTCTTTGAACTCTTTTTCAAATCGGCTGTTTTCTTAATAATTTTTTGGTTTAGTGAATAGTCCCCCTTTTTTTAGGGCTTACAGTAATTTGTGCCAAAATAGTTTAGTTGAATTTGACATAATATCTGCTGCTAAGTAGGAGGTCTCCTAATGTTTATAATTTATCAGCATTAGATTATTGGGATGTTTTATTTCTTTACTAAAATGTATTTAGTGAATAGTCCCCCTTGTTTTTTTGTTTTTTTGTTTTTTTTGTTTCTTGGTTTTGTTTTTTAGTTGAGCAATATGGTTTAGAATATCCATGATGCATATGTTATCTGTTGAGGTGGATAGCTTTGAATGTATATATTAGTGAGAGTTAACATTTATGAGTATCATTTGTTTCTAACAAGAGTGGGACGAGTTGCTTTCAATATTCTATTATATATACATTTGATGCCTAGATATCACTTGTTTTGTCACCTAGTTGTTTTGTCATGCATTCACGTTTTTATAGATACACACTGGCACTTGCACACATTTTTTAGGTGTTTTGGGTCTGACAGGCATCTCTTCAATCGCCCAATGTATATTGCTAGTGCTTGTAATTCTTCCATCTCGATTATCTCTATCACAACACCGGTTTCACTTTTTTTATTCACACAGGTTTCACTTGTATAGTTTACCTGTTTCTATAGTAACCATTGAGTTTTCCGCCGTACGTAATGACGTTATGACGTCACGGGGCGGTCCTATCTCACTTCCGGGTATCGGTGTAGGGATTCACAACGAGATTGATTGGTAAGTTCACTTATACTTTTTGTATATATTTACAGGATTTTGTGTGTTACAGTAACCTTGAAAAAGACCCGCAGAGGTCGAAACGTCGGTTTTAGGTTTTGCACCTTGAATAAATAAAACTACATTTTTTTCACCAAGTCCTGCGAGTGCATCCTATACTTTCAATTTGGTTATATATGGAACGCAAAATGGATGGCACCCAGGCAGGTATTCAACTATATGTTTAAGGAGAGTGCCAAGCTATTATTTATTTATATGTATATATATATATGTATGTATGTATATGTATGTATGTATGTATATGTATGTATGTATATATATATGTATGTATATATATGTATATATGTATATGTATGTATATATATGTATATGTATGTATATATATACATATATCCCTGATACACACTGACACAGAGCAGAATAGGGACTGTTCCTCCTACATAGGATCACTTGGCAGATATGGATTGACACCTGTCCTCAGAGACCATGATACACACTGACACAGAGCAGAATAGAGACTGTTCCCCCTACATAGGGTCACTTGGCAGATATGGATTGACACTGTCCACAAGGACAAGCTGCAGGCTTCCTGGCAGGGCCCATACAAGGTGGTAGAGCAGGTTTGTGATACCACCTTTGTGATCGGTGCGGTCACAGGCACGGGAGGCAAGCGCATGCTTCATGTGAACATGCTCAAGCCATACCACGAGTGCACGGAAGAGGTAACCGCGATCTGTGCACCTGCCACTGAAGATTATGATAATTTGCCACTCCCAGATCTCCTAGACCTAGAGGGCCAGAGACCTGGGAGAAGTACAGTTAGGAGAACGGTTAGACCCCCAGGAGCGAACCCAGGTCCAAAGACTAATCCAGGACAAGGGGGCCACGTTTTCCAACCTACCTGGGTACAGTCCGTTAACCACTCACAAAGTTGAAACCCTAGACCAGACCCCCCTTCGCCAAACCGCCTATCGCATACCCGAAGCAGTTAAAGAAAATATTCAGAAAGAAATTGAGGAAATGATGCAGTTAGGGGTGATAGAACACTCTGACAGCCCCTGGGCCTCCCCGGTAGTACTAGTACCGAAACGGGACGGCACGACCCGTTTCTGTGTAGACTACCGGAGGCTAAACAATAAAACAACCTCAGACGCCTACCCTATGCCCCGGATAGACGAGCTCCTAGACAAAATGGCCAGAGGCCAGTACCTCACCACAATAGATCTGTGCAAGGGGTACTGGCAAATGCCATTAGCCGAGGACGTCATCCACAAGTCGGCATTTGTCAGAATGCCCCGGCTAACTTTCAGAGGATGGTAGATCGGCTACTGGATGGGTTTCAGGAGTATGCCTGCGCCTACTTGGATGATATAGCCATTTTTAGCTGCTCCTGGCCCTAACACCTGACCCACATAGGAGCCGTACTAGACCGGATTAGGGAGGCCGGACTGACCCTAAAGCCCAGTAAGTGCTATATAGGAACGTGTAAAAACCTCCCCAAGATAGTAGTATGGGCCCCAGAGTGTGAACAGGCCTTCCAACAGCTCAAGACGGCGCTCATGAAATCATCTGTACTTTCTGCTCCTGATCCAACTAAACACTTTCTCGTCCATACAGACGCTTCTATGTTTGGATTGGGAGCAGTACTGAGCCAAGTCGGAGCAGATGGCGGCGAGCAACCCGGGGCTTATCTAAGCCGGAAACTTTTGCCCAGGGAAGTAGATACACCGCCATTGAAAAGGAGTGCCTGGCGGTGGTGTGGGCCCTCAAAAAGCTGCAACCTTACTTGTATGGACAACCGTTTACCTTACTCACAGATCACAACAAATTTGTGGCACTGCGCGTGCAATCTAATGTGCCACCAGATAGGAGTGGTGTGTTAAGTAGTACTATTCTTATCAGTTTAATCCCTGTTACGTCCCCTATTGATGTGGAGCAAGACGCAGCAGCAGAGGAGGACTCAGCCGAGGAGGTTATGGAAGAGTATGGAGTAGGAGGAGTAGAGGAGGTGGCAGCAGGCCTGCCTGCAAGTCATGGCGGTGTCACCAACTCCTCTGCAGAGCCACGCATTCCATGCTTGGCAGCCGTCAGCAGGTTTGCCCAATGCGCAGTGTAGGTGATATACCTGCCCTGATCATGCTTTGCAGACCAGGTATCAGTGGTCAGATGGACCCTTGCCCCAACACTGTGTGCCAGACATGCCATTATTTCCTTTTGCACAATCGAGTACAGGTTGGGGATTGCCTTTTGTGAATATAAATTTCGTCCGGGTACCAGTGAGTGAGTGGTGGCACTGGGCACAGTATCCACTGTGAGCCCGACACACCGGCTGGCAGACAACTAACTGCTATTCAATCTATAACAGTGACATTTTTTTTTTGTTTTTAAATGCAAGCTATTATGACACCAGATATGAGTGGCACTGTGAACTGGCAGAGTACACGCTGTAGGGCTGACACACCCGCTTTGAGACAACTAACTGCCATTCAATCTATAACAGTGAAAAAAATTTTTTGTTTTTAAATGCAAACTATTATGACACCAGATATGAGTGGCACTGTGAACTGGCAGAGTACACGCTGTAGGGCTGACACACCCGCTTTGAGACAACTAACTGCTATTCAATCTATAACAGTGAAAAAAAGTTTTTTGTTTTTAAATGCAAGCTATTGTGACACTAGTGAGTGAGTGGTGGCACTGGGCACAGTATCCACTGTGAGCCTGACACACCCGCTTTAAGGACACTGACTGCAATTCAATCTATAACAGTGAAAAAAGTTTTTTGTTTTTAAATGCAAGCTATTGTGACACCAGATATGAGTGGTGGCACTGACTGGGCAAAATTCCTCTACATACTACAAACATTACCCATTAAACTTCTTTCTACTTTCTTCAACCACGCCAAGCGCATCCTCTCCACATTCATATGGGCAGGAAAATTCCCTAGGATCCAATATAGTTACCTAACGAGACACAAAACTCGAGGAGGCCTGGGACTGCCGGGTATTGAAGCATATCACAGGGCCATTATTCTCACACAAATTTATGAATGGGCACACCCCCTCAATCAGAAACAGTGGGTACAACTTGAGGCAAATGTCCCCTGGCACGAGTCAGGCATAGAGGTAATAAAATCATTGCATGTGACACACCCTACTATACTCCCCACACTGAAGTACTGGCTCTCACTCAAAAAAGGAAATACCATGGCACCCCACCCCTCCCCTCTGTTCCCAATAACCGATAACCCGCAGTTCCGACCAGGTATGCAACATGCTGCTTTCCAAGGCTTTAAGGCAAAGCTTGGACAACTTCGCCTGCGAGATGTCCTAAACGACAAAGGGATGATCCCATATCCCGACATGATACCGCCACCCGAAAACATGGCACTGTTGCAATACAAACATGCACAAATCTCACACTACATACAGTCACAGCCCAGCCTTCTACAAGGATCCAGACAACTTACACCATTTGAAACATTAAGCTCCACACAGTCAATAAGAAAGAGATACCTTCCACAAACTCATACAGAAGGAAGCAGAGGCCGACCTTCCAGCATCCACAAAATCTTGGGAAGAGGAATTAAACATTACGCTAACTCCAGAGGAGTGGGATATAATATTCAGAAACATATTTCAATACTCCACAAACACCAACACACACGAAATAGCACGTTGGCATTTTACCCAATCTCAAATCAATAAATTCTTCCCAAACTCCTCTAGCATGTGTTGGAGATGTAAATCCACAGAGGGAACCCCTAGCCACATATGGTGTGACTGCAATATAATCCAAGAATACTGGGGGAAAATAACCACCCTAATCTCAGATCACAGGATACAAACTGCCACTCACACCACAAGCACTAATACTCATGCTGTACCCCGCCCCCTTAGCAAAACCAAAATGAAAGCTCATTAACCACTTACTCACGGCTGCAAATAATCTCATTCCCACTAAATGGAAACAAGATAAACCATCTACAATTAGGGAATGGATCACGAAAGTAGATTCCTTTAAAACAATGGAAGAACCTCCATATGAATGTGTCCACACACAAATTTGTCCACCTTGGGAGGAAAATAGAATACTGGGATTTTAGGGTGTAAAATGTTTTTAAAAAATTAATTCTTTGTGATTTAACATTTCTAGATCTAAGCCTTTACTAAAAATTTTCAAAAAAGATTTGATTGATTTTATTACTTGGATTTGTTTTTAGTTTTTTGTAAGTGTCTTCATCCATTAGAATTCTTTCTGCTTCTTTATGATAAAACTCTTTTGACATTAAAACTATCCCCCTCCCTTTGTCTGCTGGTTTAATAACTAGATCTGAGTCTTACTTTAGATCTTTTAGTGCTTTACGTTCTTGTATAGTGAAATTTTTGTTTGAAATTTTCCTTTTTTTCTGTTTTTTTTTTTTTTTTCGTCATGACCATTGTTTCAAATGTAATTTTTTTCGGAAATCATCTGTTTGGAATAAAATTGTGATTTTAATTTTAAATTTGTATGTTTGTTTCCTTCATTAACTGCTTGGCGTTCTATCAGATTTTTTATAAAGAAATTTTAAGGCATAGATTTCTTTTAAATCTATTTAAATCAACGTAAAAACCAAATTGGTTCAATTGTTTGTTCGGTGCGAATTTAAGCCTTTTTATTAATACTTTTTTGTGATTTTCTGTAAGGACTTTATTACTAAGTTTGTGGATTCCTTTCTGTGACGATTACCCCTATAGAGTAAGGGTATCTACCGTCTGGACATCCTTCTTCCCATAGATGGAGAGCGCTGCAGAGTCCCAACTCGATATCCTGAAGAGCTAGTATAGTTGAAGAGAGCTCTTACAGTGATACAGCAGTTATAGCTGTTCCCTACAACACGAGACGAGGCTGTGAGTTGAGGGTAAAGAAGGTCTGGTTTATTGAGCACAAAGGCATTTCTTTTATACACATTTTCAGACCAGAGGCACACCCCCTGGACCTGATGGAACACAGGGACAAAAAGAACATAGACCAACAGGAATGGTAATTATTACTGTAACACTCCCACATACAGTCAGCAAGCCCTTCCATCTGCCTGTGATATAATTAAGAGAGCTAATGGAATAACTTAATTATACAGAGGCAGAAAATAAAAATTTTTACCCAAAGTTCAGAAACACCCCAAAACTCAAACATATCCCCATACATTATACACCCCCGGATAGCTCTAATCTGGGCGAACAACATATACAAAAATCACCCAGATCAGTGCAGGGGTTCAAAAGTTCCATGGAAGTCTCTTTTGACTGACCGCACACATGTTTTCATGCCCAAAATAGTTCCAGAGAATTAGGCTGTGCGGTCGGTCTATTTCCAATGATTAAAATGTACTTTGAATGTTCGAATGTGACTGTTTGTGCCATAAGTCAGTGTCGAAGTGTGTTCGGTGGATTACTTTTACCGAATAGTGCTCCATTCGTATGGATTTAGTCAAAGTTAGCTGGTGGTCCAAAGTTATTGGTGGTCAGGTACTTCGTCTGTTTGACGGTTCGAAGCACCACTTCGAATCACTTCGACAGTTCGAAGTGGCATTGGTAAAAGTCCCAGCAGGCAGAAATAATGTTCTAGGATCTCCTCCATCCTCAGACACCTGGCTTAAAACTGCCCCCAGTCCGAACATTGAAGCATCTGTTTGTTAGGGACTGGAGCAGCCAGGATACGAGCATGAACTAAGGGCTTGGGAGACAACAGGACCTGTCGAGGTAAGTTTTTCTTGGTCAGGTCAGTCAGGGGTTTGGCAGTGGCTCTATAGTCGGGGACAAAGCATCTGTAATACCCAGCAGTACGCAGGAATGCCAGGATTTGGATCTTGGTGTGAGGGGTCGGCCAGTTAGCGACAGCCTCAATTTTAGCAGGCTCAGGTCGCTGTTTCCCACACCCCACCCGGTGTCCCAGGTACTGGACCTCAGCCATCCCAAAATGGCATTTGTCTGGTGTGACATACCTCTGTCTCTGGATTACTTTTATTTTACCTTGGTTCATCTGTTTGTTTGGTTATTGTCCTGTCCGTACTGCCCTTACGTTTAATTCCCTTTTTCCCGAAAGAACTACCAAATGGCCGGCCACCCAGCAAAGAAATTTGCTGCTTGTTAACCTCTTGGCCTCATTAGAACGTTGTGGTTAACCGCAGACACTAGATGGATAAAAAACTCAGTAGTCCAGAACTTGGTAGAGTAAAATAAGTCCAAAGGAAAAAGTCAGTGAATAGTTTTTTGTATATAGAATTTGATTGATGCACTTACCTGCCATAGTGGTCTGTGAGTAAATATTACTTTTCATGCTATAATTCGACATTTCTGCTTATATCTAATTTGTACCATTACTGGCTATATTGTTTGTACAGCCTGATACATTAATGCTGCTGCCAATTTCAATGGATAACAGCACAATGTGTTGGCTGTGATATAGATAGCACTCTATACCATTCCCTTTCCTTGCATCAATCAAATTCTGCTATATACAAAAAACTATTCACTGTCTTTTTCCTTTGGACTTATTTTACTCTACCAAGTTCTGGACTACCGAGTTTTTTATCCATCTAATTGATTATATTGTGCAAATTTATCTTTTTGCAGCAGACCATTCAAGTTACAATTTGAATTCAATATTTGTCTGTGGGCAACTCAATGTTTAGTTAACATTTCCCTGTTATGTGAGAGTGCATGGTATCTGGGTGCCATCTAGTGACCATTTGTATACTACATTTTATTCACATTTATCCTTGCTGCTGCTATATTCATTTCCTATATTTCCCCATTTTTATTGTTGTTCCAGCTTTGTCACGCATTTTATATTTCCACTATTTTATTTCAGATTTGGTTAGGGATCTCCTAGTATGTGTAGGCTTTTATTCTTATCTATTCACTTTTTTCACTTTTTTACTAGCCTTTATGGGGGCTTTCCTTTACTAGTAGAGACCCTTTTACCTATCTTCTCTCCATTTTCTCCACTCTCTAGGACTAGTTTATCTACCCACTATCCACACTTTCTACTGTCGAATGGTCGGCTGGGTGGTCGTCGTTCGGATGAGCGAACATGTGGCGGCGGCAATCTTGGACATTCGAACGCCCAGCGGTGTTCATCGACAAATCTATGGAACTAAAAACGGACACTATTTTCATACGAACACCGCTGAAGTCGCCGACCTGTCTTTGTCCTTTTCATCGGTTCATACGAATGCCGTGCTGTTCGGTACTTGGATCATACGAACAGAGCCACCCCAGATAGCCATCCCATGGAGCTCATTCGTATGATGAATAGACTATGTGAAAGACTTTAGCTCAATGGCGATTGAACTGTGTATATGGGATCTGAGCGCTATTCGGTGATATTGTGCACTCATATCTAAGCTATCTGGGGATACGTTGAATATGGGGATTCTGTTCGGTAGTTTGGGAATTGTATATGTTTATGTATTTTTTATTGCTGCTATAAAATGGAGGTTATGCTCTGTCCTGGGAGGTAATTGAGTTACTTCTAGCACTTAACCCAATTACCTCCAGGATAGAGAAAAGGGGACTGTAATGCTCATGTGGGAGTGTTTATACCTGTATGCATTCTGATTGCAGAAACTTGTCCCAGTTTTCCACCAGGTCCCCTGGTGGAAGACCTGCATAAAAGATGGGCATGTAGCCCACATTAAACAGATTCCTGCTTGACCCTCAATACAGAGCCTCGTCTCGTACTTGGGGGGGATTATTCATATTTTTTCCTGTTCGGCAGTTTGGAGTGTTCAGTAGCTGACTTCTCATTCGGGAAGGGAACGTCTTTGGCAGCTTTAACCGCTCTATACCCAGGGTGCCGTTACAATTGGTGGCAAGCGACGGGATGATTCCCACGGCCCAGAAAGACAGCTACAAGATGACACATGCCAATGGAAGTACATTATGAGAAACTAAAGCGCTCTACCCTCAAAGACCTACTGGAGACCGGGGCCGACTGGCCAGTAACCATAAGAAGAGGGACATCATTACCGAACTGGTGGAGATGGATAAAGCAGAAAGAATCAACTAATCAGACAGGACACCCAAAGAGGCAAGCTTCGATCGGGCTGTTGCAATCAGACTGGCATATTTTGGACCTAACCCTACACTGGATATTATAGAATGAGTCATAGCAGCCGTGGATGTTAACCGGCCGAACCTTCAACAAAGAGGTGCTACTGCAGCAAAAGTGACAACAGTGCCAACAGAGAAAAGGAAAGTACATTTTGCTGCTTTTAAAAATTTCCTGGAAACAGATGGAGAGATTGATGGGTACCTTGCCGATTTTGAACGGCAATGTGCCCTACACCGGGTACCCACAGATGAATGGGTTACAATTTGGTCTGGGAAATTGTCCGGCTGGGCCAGTGAAACTTTCCGGGCCATCCCAGATGAGGACATTACAGACTATGGGCTAGTGAAAGAAGCCCTATTGGCCAGGTATGCCGTCACACCGGAGGCGATTCCGGGACACTAGCAAGCAGAGTGGAGACTCCACTACCCAGTGGGCATGCCTCCTACACCACATGGCATCCCACTGGGTCGCTGGATGCCAAGCCGTATCCGGGGAAGAGGTGCTACAGCTGTTCCTGCTGGAAAACGTCTACGACAAACTGACCATGGGGGTCAGAGAGTGGGTCCGTGACCGGAGACCTCTCACCCTGCCTGAAGCAGCTTGTCTAAAGGACGAGTACACGGACGCCCGCAAGATACAGACCTGTGGTCAAGACAGCAGCCCATGTGGATAACCAACCCAATAACGTCACCCCCTCTAGTTGCCACAGGCTGTCCGCTCTACAGCCCCACCTCCAGACGCCACTCACCCACAACAGCCCAGGTTCAACTCGCATAACTACTCCCAACCCATGAGGTGTTTCGGGTGTAATCAGATCGGGCACAGAAAGCAGGACTGCCCTTTGAATCCAGCCAGGCAGTCCCAGTCCTGGAGAAAGCCAGCAATGGGGAACTCCCGTACAGTGATGCTGGCTGCCCACTGCGTCGAAGAGGAGGAGCACTGGGGAACTCTACACAAAGCCGACCCTATCCAGGCAGTCAACCGGGACAGTCAAACGGATAAAAGTTGGATCAGCGCTATATGATCAGTTAAGAGCTAAAATAAGTGTAGGGTTGCAACCTATAATTATGAGGTTCCCTCACAAACCCTCAGAAAAGAATAAAATACAGTAAAAATGAAAAATAGGTCTTGCCACAGTAAACTGTGAAAAATAATAATATAAACTGCATTAATCAAGAAAAGGAAAAAATAGATTGCGCTACAAATAACTGTAATGTAATATGAACTGTGATAATGTACTTACATATATATCAGACAGAACAAGGAAATATATATTAC